TGCCATCCCTACAGCATACTTAAATTTTTGCAATTATTTTTATTACTTGTAGGAACAAGCGTTAGTAGCGAAATCTAATTTACAGGAATGATTGTCTGTAGGAATTTCAAGCAATTTGATCAAGAAATTTTTCAGTTTCTTCATGTTTATACTGACGTCAGTTCGACAACATAAGCAAACTCGTCATTGCTATAACGCGTTTTGTATTAAAAAATCAAACGCGTTTTGTATTAGAAAATCAAACGCGTTTTGTATTAGAAAATCATTGAGAACGGAGTGTGTTGAAATGTGAAGTCGAAAATAAATTCTAAAATGACAAAACGAAGGACTTGCGTTTCATTCCTCTATAACTGTTGTTCCGGAGATTGTCTAGTGGTTAGCGTTCTCGGATAGTGAAACCGAGGGTCTATGGTTCGCAGCACGTTACTGCAAAAACGCACTCCGCAAATATGGTCAACTTTCATTATTCGGTAAGGCAGGAGTAACCTATGGATTCTGTTGGTTGGCTGCCTTCTCTCTCTGATCTATTAGTTCAAACTTAGGGACAACTATGTGCAGATAACCTTTTTAGTAGCCTTCCCAGGTGGTTAGGGAACCCCTGCAATGCCACCATATATTCTCCGCACTTTAAACTGTGAGTGTGTTATAAGAGTTAAAGTCAGTCTCTTAGCATAGATGGTGGACCGTAGGGTGCTATAGAATGGCTGCCTTCTCTCTTGTCACTAATTCAAGGCCCGGCATGGCCAAGTGGTTAGGGTGCTCGACTCGCAATCTGAGGGCTGCGGGTTCGAATCCCCGTCACACCAAACATGCTCGCCCTTTCAGCCGTGGGGGCGTTATAATGTGACGGTCAATCCCTCTATTCGTTGGTAAAAGAGTAGCCCAAGAGTTGGCGGTGGGTGGTGATGATTAGCTGCCTTCCCTTTGGTCTTACACTGCTAAATTATGGATGGCTAGCGCAGATAGCCCTCGTGTAGCTTTGCGCGAAATTCAAAAACAAACAAAGAGGTATGTTTAAAAAAGTTATGACATAAATGCTCCAATTTAGGTGTTAGGATTATGAAAGGTTATGTATATGCTTTAGAAGGACAAAATGGTTTATAAAATGTTAGAAAAACATTGACGAAAGCGCGTTTACTCATGATACAATAAATCTGCAGAAGCTCGAATCAGTTTTCAAAAATTCTGGAACTACCACAGATATTTCAGATGTAAGGGAAATAATTATGGGAACAACACAAGCGATATAAAGAACAAGAACTGACAACTAGATAATGAAGTTATCAATGGTACAGAAAATACCAAATAAAAATGAAAAACTTGTACTACACACTAGTGTTTTGAGTGTGAACACTTTGTTTTAGAGATTTTTAAGTCTCATTTTTATGCTTTCATGTAGTTTATCGATGTACGGTTATGGAATATTGTTCCATAATACTCCACATAATGCAACCAACTTCTTTAGCCACTTTTTGATCTTCTCAGTTTATATACAAGTTCATACTCCATCAGGAATATTTATATTTGAATGTTGTGCAGGCCAACAATGGTTGTAGATATTCTACGGGCCTTTTTACCGTCAAAGTATCGCTACACCATATTTGTTGCATGTTTGGGATCATTGTCTCGCTGGAAGACGAATCGCTGCCCAATAAGTCTAATTCCTGGGGAAATGGCATGATGGATCAAAATTTCCCTGCAAACATGATACCATCAGTTTTGTGTAGATCACTAAAACCACTGGCCGAGATGCATTACGAAACTTCTGCCCGTCCCCCATTATTGACTAGTGTACCATTATCCTCCCTAAAACCACTGGCTGAGATGCATTACCAAACTTCTGCCGGTCCCTCATCATTGACTAGTGTACCATTCTCCTCTACCCCGTCAAACAAACGCTTGTTGATTATTGCCAAACAGTAAATGCCTCCAGCTGTGTGGTACGACGCCAATTGTAATCTTTTGGTTTTGGTACCATTTTTTTCGTCAACTGTTTTAAACCTCTTATATGTCCATTGAGACTAATTATGCTAACATGCCACTTTTGCGTACCCTCTTGAAATGTTGGTACAATTTTTGGCATAGAGTGTTATTTACTAGTCAAACCTGACTTCTCTACACTTTGCATGAGATATTTCAATCCTATGATCTATACTATTATTAATGCCCCATAGCATTACTGTGTACTTTTAAGTACATTGTACAGATGCGTAACTTTCTGAAGTTAATAAAGTAAACTGTGAACACACGATTGTACTCTCACGAAGTTTATTTCAACACGATCGGGGGGGGGGTCGTCATTCTCGGAGTGTTTGCTGTTTTTATACTTCTTTTCTAACCGTTTTCATAACTATTTCCAACATTTTACATGTAATTACAAAAACAAGAGTCAGTTTCTAAAAACAAGTCCTGAAAATATTGCGTAGTTCCAACTGTTAGAAATACGTGTCAAAACATAGGTTTTCATGTTAAAAATATCATATTATAAATTGAAAATTTCAAAACTTTTAGTCTCGAAATGTTTATTTATTAATCTATTTTAGATGAAAAAAGAATCATTATCCCATTTTTGGTATTGATAGTAAAAAAGGTTTGGAATTATGGGTAAAAAAGCGTTCTTTTTTTCAGTAACTGACTTTTTTATTTCAACTGTAACTGAAAAGTTAACTTAGACAATAATGTCGTAAAATCTTCCTAAGTCCTCAAATTGAAGACATTTTAACAAGAAGTTACATTCTGATTTTAATATATATTATTGTCTACCAAAGAAACATCAATAACAGTGACCCGATTCACTATTCTCAATCAATCCTCTCTTCATATTCTGAATTGAGCATCCAGAATATTTTTAGGGGCTCGAGGGACAATTTATTCTATGGATTGTGTAATGGATATTATAAAGAGCGCACAGATACCTCATAAGTAAAAATTTTATTCAGATACGATATATTTTTATGAATTATGTTCTATACCTTCCTGAAACCTCAAAACTTCCAACCATAATGCGTAGAATAAATGACTTGACCTTTATAATAAACGACCTGACCTCACATATCAATAATTTGTAGCAAGAACAATTATTAATAATTTGATTTGATTTTATAATAGATATTACAGTTTTCTCTCTCTTTTTTTCTTTTTGTACATACTTAGTCAACCCTGAAGTCTTATCAGCTGTAAAGCTATTGAAACGTTCACGCTGAGGTTTGACTAATAAAACTACAAAATTAAGTTTTGAATATTTGTGTAACTTAGTTGTGAATCTTATCCTGGGTCCTGACCTTATATCTTAATAGATTAAAAAGTTGCACACTCCTTGTTATACATTATATTTTTCTTCCGATATAACTTACTGGTTCCTTTCTATTATGCGACGTAAAAGGGGTCTATGTATATAATTCTGGAAACTTAAACCAGCTTAGGCGTTTTACACCAATGCGTTGCTTTATAATTTATTAGTATATTAAAAAAATTAATTATTAATTTGCGGAATTTTCGTTTTAAATATCAAAGGAAATAATTTAAGGTTTTGTTTGCAGTATTCAGTATTTAATATACATGTTTCTTTGTTTTGTCTTTTTCGTAAGAACTATGGGAACAAAACAAAAAATTCAAAAGGAATGAAATCAACACACAAACAATCTTTGGAATAAGAGCTTGAATTACATCTCAGAAAACATTTCATTCAATAGTCCAGAACGCGAAATCATCATTTAAAATAACGGTAATGGATCAAGTTTTAACAAAGGATTGCAGGCACTTTGAGTTAGAACCCAACAAAATGTTAACCTTGAATTAGTAGTAGCATTTTATGGCCAATCTATAAAAGTAGTAAACAGAGTAATACAAGTTTGTAAATATGTATATTTATCTTTCTACAAGATGCGATCTTCATTTGATTTGTTGAAAACATTAAAATAAACTTACTATTTGTCCCGTCTATTGATATATTTGTCCGTTGGTAAAGGAGTAGCCCAAGAGTTGGCGGTGGGTGGTGATGACTAGCTACCTTCCCTCTAGTCTTACACTGCTAAATTAGGGACGGCTAGCGCAGATAGTCCTCGTGTCGCTTTGCGCGAAATTCAAAACAAACAAACAAACACTCACGATATATTTGTTGAGTCACATAACTTTTGAATTAAAATATTTACCTAAAAAAGTTCGAGGAAACATATCAACAGACGATACTGAATGAACACTTTGGCAAATGGAGTGAAAATAAAAAAGTAAAATGTTAGCCAAAATCATTAAGCTGCTGTAAAAATATTTTATATTGTAGATCGGAAACATCACTTTCATTTTTACTTCAATATCACTGACAGCATGCCTTCTACTGAGTCGGTAGTAGAAGCAGAATTTCACTTGTACAAGATGAAACCTAAAGAAACAGTGAAAGGGAAGTCTGATGACATCAAATCCCATCTGCTTCCAAAAATTGTACCAACATTTCAAGAGGGTACGCAAAAGTGGCATGTTAGCATAATTAGTCTCAATGGACATATAAGAGGTTTAAAACAGTTGACGAAAAAAATGGTACCAAAACCAAAAGATTACAATTGGCGTCGTACCACACAGCTGGAGGCATTTACTGTTTGG